CACTGCTAATTTCGGAGTATCAAAAGAGAGAACACACGCCTTAGGAAATAAGGTGGGACAGGACAGTGTGAGGCACCTTGTAGGTAGCCACGCAGCATTGTGGGCCTCTATTTCTTCCGTCCTCCTCAGGTCGTTCAGCTTTTCTTCGAGGATTACATTAGAGGCATTCGATCCGAAAGGTGCCTCAAGCTGCCTCAAGGATCAGAATGTCGGTGGAACGATCACCGACGCTCATGGTAAGACATAAGAACAAAGGCAACTGCAGAAGGCCTATTGGCCCATACGAGGCAGCTCCTATCTATAACCACCCAATCCCACTCATATACATGTCCATATACAAGACGTGTGGCCAGGGACTTACATCAACACGCCCTCTTAGAAGTAACGTCACTTTTGGCTCGTATGCGCGCTATGGCCAAAAGTGGACGTAATTTGAAATGAAATCGACTCACAAAAATGACGTACTGTCTCGTTTTTTGTTTGAGTCGTCCGGCTCACTCGGTAAGGTTAGGAGAGGAAACTTTCAATTAACGTTTTTCATAACGTTTTGAGAATTTCCTGCCCACCTAACCTATCAGAGAACCCTTAACTTACTGTTGTTGAAAAAAAAAAAAAATCCCAAATTTATTTTCATTTTCAAATTACGTCCACTTTCGGCCATACGGGTAAACGGCCAAAAGCGATGTTATTTTTAAGAGGACAGGTTGCACCATGAGCATCTATGGTTGGTTGGCTAGACGAGATGATTTCACATTTTGGAGGGTTTAGGGGGGGGGGACTCCTAACTTCTCTCCCTTAGATTCCATCAACTGTAGATCCGCTAGCAAGGACTCCTGTGTACCGAAAAGTGTGGCCATCGCCCAGGAACAAGATGTTGAGCTCGCTAGTCGGCCTGCTTGTGACCATCTTAGCAGCCGTGCAAACAAGGAGCAAGTATATTTCCCTGCTAGACACCTGTTAAAACTTCGCCATGCTTCCCAAACAACAGTATTGTTTACATGAAACGTGAAATTAGTGTTGATTACCCGATGAAATGAAGGGAGGAGACAATGAAAACTTAGTTTTGGATCTTAAGTCGCTCTGAAAGATACTTCACGACACTTGTAAGACGTCTCAAGGTCCTCGTGACGTCGATGGAAACACAATTCAAGTCCCCTTAACTGTGGGGAGTTGCTTACTACTGCAAGAGATAGCTGTGTGGGACGCCGGTCCCCATCTTGAATGTTTTTTAACAGCTGGGTAAGATAGTAGACAACTGCATCCATGGTTGTCAGGCTTGGAGCTTGTCCTTCCCATACCTCGTGTTAAGCCTTATCCCTACTTGTTTTCAATGGAACATGACCCCGCAATCGCCTAACAACCAGGTTCTCAATTACTGCTGGGTAAACATGGGCGAACAGTTAAGGCCTGACGCCCAGTCAGTCATTCTTGGCCTTATATTGTGTGGCCAGGAATAATCCACTATGATTGGATTATGAGAATATCCTTAAGAACACGTGAATGGATGAAATAATTAACAAGCTCCAGGACCCTCGTGTCGGCTGGTCTAAATTGGTTATTTAGTGGATATTCAATAACGAAATGTGAGGATGACCCAGTTCTTGCTCAGCGTGTGGAGAGTCGTCACCTGTAACCACCTGCCACAGGTAACCTGGTTACCTTGCTTATGATTTCTGACCTCAACCTCCCCGCGGCCCGGTCCTCGACCTGGTCTCCAAACAATGGTCCTGGCAACTATGACGCACCATCTGCTGGAACATTTGTGCTGCCATCAAAAATCATAATTTGTGTAGATAGTACTTAAGGCCCCGCATACCAGACGTGACAGTCTGAAGGAATATATTTTTGACTACAGAAGTAAGGGCACCTAAACTCCCTTAATTTCAACTTTGTTACATGCTAAGTTAGCTGCTATGTCAGTCATGGTGATGAGTGATGTATTCCTCCCAGAGGGGTCGAGGAAGGTTTAATATGTGGAGAGAGCAAGTTATATCTGATATGTTGTTGTGTACCTTGTTGATGTCCACCCCGTGAACCTCCAGTCTTTACTCTTCTCGTGTGTATTTATAGTTAATTATAAAGCGACTAGTTTTGTTAACGTAGAGTTCAGGCAGCCCAAACATTGATAGTCTGTGTGCAAGTAATGATTCTATGAAATTTACGAACTGCTGCGGTGGTTCTGTTTACAGTTGGACTGAGCACCCAGTGTAAATATTGTGCCCGGGGGAGCCTGGCTTTTTACCAGCTGAGACAATTGTTTTGGGCGTGACAGCTTTAATGCAAGAGTCTTCTCGCCCTCCTTAATGTATATGATAATTGAAAGGTGGGGCGCAGGTAAGGTGGAGTGTGTGTGTGTAAAATAGGTAAATTGGATTTAACGCAGGTCGGATAATTATCAGGGAAAGCAATAAAGCAGTACGACAGTATAGCACTTGGAAGGGACATTAGGACACTGATCTGGTATTGACCCGAAGGGAAGGAATGGTGTCCAACCACTTGGACTGTCCGGGATGGAACGCGGACCTGCAAGGGCCGTCGTTGGACCAACCAATATATTAAATTATTGGATTTAAAAGATACATGGTTGGTGAGGGCGCGAAGTAATTTGTATCGAAGCAACGCTGGAGATGTTAGGGGCTCTCGGAACACTAATGCCTAAAGACTTGTACAGTTCCGTCTTGTGTTGAGTAGCCATTTGTTGGACCATTCCTTCAGTTTGTCCAGAGTTATCTTGTAGCCTCATGCTATCCGTCTTAATCCTTCTCGTCATTTCTTTCATCGTCAGCAAACATTGAGAGCACTGGGTATATACCTTGTTGAAAATCCTTTGCGTATATTAGAAAGAGGTCCTAATACAAAACCCTATTAGACTCCGCCGGGGACATCCCATTCTGAAGTCTCATCCCTTACTGTAACTTTTGTATTGCTTGGGTAGTTCCTTATCTACTGGGAGTACCTTACCTGTTTTTCCAACTAACGCTCCAGCCTCTTATGGGGTACTGTATCAAATGCTTTGTGACAGTCCAAGAAATTGCAGTCTGCCCACCCATCTCTTGTTAATGATTGTCACCTGGTCGTTGAATTCTATTAACCCTGTGATGCCCTCCCTGAACCCGTGCTGGTGGTGTGTTTAAGTTTCCTCTCTCTTGATGTGCTACTAGATTTTGTCTGATGGTGACGAGGAGGCGGGGGGAAGGGGGCAGTGGTGGTGATGTAGGGACGAGAAGGGAAGGAGAAGGGGAGGGCAGTGGTGGTAGAGACAGTAGTGAAGGTGACAGGGCAGTGGACAGTGCTGTCCGGCGTCCACCACCTCTTAAGACAGCCGACCAACGTAGCCACACGTTGGCAACGCTGTCACCTGAACCTCCCGCCAGCGTTACCAACACACCCTCGTCACGGCAACTTCCTGTGTCTCTGGTGTGTGTTTTTTCTGCCTCCGCCCGCCCACGAGACTGTCTGTTATGTTACCTGGCATGGTAATCAGCGCCTGCGTGACGACCCGCTGGAGGGAGCAGCGGTTTAGTGTTACACTCAACCAGGTAAACCTGATTACGAACACATTTCATTACTAAATCCTTACGCACGTGGTCCAGATTTTGTCGACACGGGGGGCTCTCATTTTTACAAACATTTGATCAAACATTTGAAAGGTATTCGATTGAAAATCCTAATTAAACACAAAAAACCAATACAAACTGTTTCCGCAACGTTGAATATAATTTTGTTTTCGGTAGGTGTTTGTTAAATATAAAGCCCCGCTAATTAGGACAGGTGGCGACATGTGGTAAGGTCAGAGGAAGACGGCGGGGGCTGTGTTTTCGCGCGGAAATCATCGCTTTTAAAAATAGCACATTCCTGCCCGAGACGCTCTCGCATTCCTCAATTCTCCGTCGAGTTGTCTCCGTCAAGTTTATTGTCTTATCTCTTGCTTACTTTTGTCTTGTGGATCACGAGCTGGGCTGTTGCCAGTACTCTCTTCCGCCTCCAGGTTGTTTACTGTTACATTACTGTACCCTCTATACCACCTGCTTCACTGTAACTTGTTCACCTGGTTCATTATATCATGTGTGTATATCACGAAAATAAACACGTGATTAAAAATGTGACAGTGTCAGACCACGGAGGAAAATTGAAACAGGAATTTCCTTAAGTACTTCGTATATTACTACATCTTCAGAAGGACTCCTCCTTCTGAAGATGTATTAATATACGAAAGTACTTAAGGAAATTCCTGTTTCAATTTTCCTCCGTGGTCTGACAGTCTCATTATATCATGTATACTTGGTTCATTATATCAGGTATACCTGGCAGCTTCATAGCTGTTTCACTACATGCCATGTAGGCCTACAATTGCTAATGACCCATGTATTTCAATGTATTCTTTACTGTATCCTACACAGGTTTATTTGATCTTGTGTAGATGCCTCTCACATCATTACTGGACCACGACACGTTACTGGACCACGACACGTTACTGGACCACGACACGTTACTGGACCACGACACGTTACTGGACCACGACACGTTACTGGACCACGACACATTACTGGACCACGACACGTTACTGGACCACGACACATTACTGGACCACAACACATTACTGGACCACGACACGTTACTGGACCACGACACGTTACTGGACCACGACACGTTACTGGACCACGACACGTTACTGGACCACGACACGTTACTGGACCACGACACATTACTGGACCACGACACATTACTGGACCACGACACGTTACTGGACCACGACACGTTACTGGACCACGACACGTTACTGGACCACGACACGTTACTGGACCACGACACGTTACTGGACCACGACACGTTACTGGACCACGACACGTTACTGGACCACGACACGTTACTGGACCACGACACGTTACTGGGCCACGACACGTTACTGGACCACGACATGTTACTGGACCACGACACGTTACTGGACCACGCCCATAAGTGTCCCTACAATGTCTTAAGAAAGGTGTCTTCCGTTGCAGGGGAGGCGGGGAGGTGGCGGAGAGGGCGGTGTAAATGGTTCAACGTGAGCAAGGGCTGGGGGTTCGTCACCCCCGACAATGGCGGCCAGGATGTCTTCGTCCACCAGGTGAGTGTCTTCAAGTCTCCTTCATCTTGGCCTAGCCTAGTGTCTCTGTACTTGCAAGGTGCCCGGCACGACGTCTTCCGGTGGTGGCGGTGGCCGTCACCAGGATGTAACAAGCTAAGCTTGTTTTAGAAATTGAAATAAGTTTATTTAGGTAAAATACACACAAAGGGATGAGGTAGCTCAAGCTATTCTCACCCCGTTCAGTACATCGTGTTAATACATACATAGACACACATCACAAACAATAAACATATTACCAAACATTCTGAGATAAACATCTACATTTCCTCTTGGTTTAGAAGTAATAGGTCATGCGTTTTAATATTAGTATATTTTGGTAGCAGTCTTTCCTGTAGACATATATTATTAAATATGACCGAAAAAGTAAGATTGAGAAAATTCGTGTTTGAATTATTAATCTTACTTTTTCGGTCATATTTAATCATATAAGTTATAGGTCTTTAAATCATTTGGTTCAATTGTACCATATGAACACAAGCTTGGAGTGAGAGGGTACTTTTACCTGACTAGCAGAGGAAAGGTCACTTGCCAGAGATTAAGGGATTAGTGAGGATAGCAGATAAAATGGCCGCGTTTCACTTGTATTAATTCAACAGTGGTGAATAATGCAATAAATACAGTACTTATAGTAATAACCAATGTGGTTTAAGGACTTAGGTTAACATGAATGTAAAGATCAAGGCTCGTTTGCTATCAAAGAGAAAGTGACGTCATTTTGAGATCTCACTCTAAGCTTGTGTTCCGCGAGCGCTATGTCATGGGTTCGTATCCTGGCCGGGGAGGATTTACTGGGCGCAATTCCTTAACTGTAGCCTCTGTTTAACGCAACAGTAAAATGTGTACTTGGATGAAAAAACGATTCTTCGCGGCAGGGGATCGTATTCCAGGGACCATAGGATTAAGGACTTGCCCGAAACGCTACGCGTACTAGTGGCTGTACAAGAATGTAACAACTCTTGTATATATCTTAAAAAAAAAAAGATGAAATTAGCTCGTCAGGCTCGTCTCTGACCCACCCTGGGGTCAAGGTCAGGCGTCGTCTCTGACCCACCCTGGTGTCAAGGTCAGGCGTCGTCTCTGACCCACCCTGGGGGTCAAGGTCAGGCGTCGTCTCTGACCCACCCTGGGGGTCAAGGTCAGGCGTCGTCTCTGACCCACCCTGGGGTCAAGGTCAGGCGTCGTCTTTGTCCCACCCTGGGGTCAAGGTCAGGCGTCGTCTTTGTCCCACCCTGGGGGTCAAGGTCAGGCGTCGTCTCTGACCCACCCTGGGGTCAAGGTCAGGCGTCGTCTTTGTCCCACCCTGGGGTCAAGGTCAGGCGTCGTCTCTGACCCACCCTGGGGTCAAGGTCAGGCGTCGTCTCTGACCCACCCTGGGGTCAAGGTCAGGCGTCGTCGCTGACCCACCCTGGGGTCAAGGTCAGGCGTCGTCGCTGACCCACCCTGGGGGTCAAGGTCAGGCGTCGTCTCTGACCCACCCTGGGGTCAAGGTCAGGCGTCGTCTTTGTCCCACCCTGGGGTCAAGGTCAGGCGTCGTCTTTGTTCCACCCTGGGGTCAAGGTCAGGCGTCGTCTCTGACCCACCCTGGGGTCAAGGTCAGGCGTCGTCTCTGACCCACCCTGGGGGTCAAGGTCAGGCGTCGTCTCTGACCCACCCTGGGGGTCAAGGTCAGGCGTCGTCTCTGACCCACCCTGGGGTCAAGGTCAGGCGTCGTATTTGTCCCACCCTGGGGGTCAAGGTCAGGCGTCGTCTCTGACCCACCCTGGGGGTCAAGGTCAGGCGTCTGACACACCCTGGGGGTCAAGGTCAGGCGTCGTCTCTGACCCACCCTGGGGGTCAAGGTCAGGCTCGTCTCTGACCCACCCTGGGGTCAAGGTCAGGCGGTGTCTCTGACCCACCCTGGGGTCAAGGTCAGGCGGTGTCTCTGACCCACCCTGGGAGTCAAGGTCAGGCTCGTCTCTGACCCACCCTGGGGTCAAGGTCAGGCGGTGTCTCTGACCCACCCTGGGGGTCAAGGTCAGGCGGTGTCTCTGACCCACCCTGGGGGTCAAGGTCAGGCTCGTCTCTGACCCACCCTGGGGTCAAGGTCAGGCGGTGTCTCTGACCCACCCTGGGGGTCAAGGTCAGGCGGTGTCTCTGACCCACCCTGGGGGTCAAGGTCAGGCGGTGTCTCTGACCCACCCTGGGGTCAAGGTCAGGCTCGTCTCTGACCCACCCTGGGGTCAAGGTCAGGCGGTGTCTGACCCACCCTGGGGGTCAAGGTCAGGCTCGTCTCTGACCCACCCTGGGGGTCAAGGTCAGGCGGTGTCTCTGACCCACCCTGGGGGTCAAGGTCAGGCGGTGTCTCTGACCCACCCTGGGGGTCAAGGTCAGGCTCGTCTCTGACCCACCCTGGGGTCAAGGTCAGGCGGTGTCTCTGACCCACCCCGGGGGTCAAGGTCAGGCGGTGTCTCTGACCCACCCTGGGGGTCAAGGTCAGGCTCGTCTCTGACCCACCCTGGGGTCAAGGTCAGGCGGTGTCTCTGACCCACCCTGGGGTCAAGGTCAGGCGGTGTCTCTGACCCACCCTGGGGTCAAGGTCAGGCGGTGTCTCTGACCCACCCTGGGGTCAAGGTCAGGCGGTGTCTCTGACCCACCCTGGGGTCAAGGTCAGGCGGTGTCTCTGACCCACCCTGGGGTCAAGGTCAGGCGGTGTCTCTGACCCACCCTGGGGGTCAAGGTCAGGCGGTGTCTCTGACCCACCCTGGGGTCAAGGTCAGGCGTCGTCTCTGACCCACCCTGGGGGTCAAGGTCAGGCGTCGTCTTTGTCCCACCCTGGGGTCAAGGTCAGGCGTATCTTACCCACCCTGGGGTCAGGGTCAGGCGGCTGGGGGAACCACAACTTTTCGGATTGTTAATTCATAAATTATAAATACAGGTCACTAGTCAATATTGTAATTGGAAATAGCCGGATTCTAGATCCCTATGAAATACCATCAGTTTCAATAAGAATTCAACCATCTGGGTGGCCAGTAAATAAGTTTAGTTTGTTCCATTAACCCTGCTTAGTAATCTAGCAGTCAAGGAGGCTGGCGGAGTAGTCTTAGCTAGCTTCACTATCTGGAAGACGGGAGACATCTCCAGTCACGCAGGGTGCAGTCGCACCTCCACAGATCTCCAGTATCGGCTCTTGATACTGGTAATGGCTCAAAAGGGCCACCACTTACGGGCTTTTCATGCCCGTGTCACCTTTTGGTGGCTTAATCTTTATCAATCGATCAAATGTCTGGAAGTAAGAAAGGCAGTGTGGCGTGGGCAGCTGGGAGACGAACATCACCTTCAGGAGGCCAGGTGAACATCAAGCTGGTCTTAGTCTACGGTAAAGTGCTTAGAGTTTACTATAGTTGAGTTTAAACCCATTTAATTAATTTGCCTCAGTTAGGGAGCCGGTCGGCCGAGCGAACAGCACGCTGGACTTGTGGTTCTGGGTTCGATCAATGGGCGAGAAACAATGGGCAGAGTTTCTTTCACCCTATGCCCCTGTTACCTAGCAGTAAAATAGGTACCTGGGTGTTAGTCAACTGTCACGGGCTGCTTCCTGGGAGTGGAGGCCTGGTCGTGGACCGGGCCGCGGAGACACTAAAAAAAAAAAAAGCCCCGAAATCATCTCAAGATAACCTAAAGAAGGAGGACGAGGGGACATGGGAGTAGGAAATATTTAGGGGGACGGGGGAGGGGGCAATGGTGTGGAGGACTGGGAGACAGGTGAAGGATTGTATTTACCGCGGAGTCTCCACGAGCCGGGTCTATTGAATGACTCGTCGGGTCGGTGTATATTTCCAAGCAAGCCTATTCTATTTTAATATCGGATACATTCCCTTGGCTTTCGACAAATCCACACTTAACTTAGTCATCTCTCCCCTTTTAATTAATTGGGAATCCATATTCGGAGAAGTATATCTAATTGACGGTTTCCTGTTTCACTGTCGGGGCGCTAATCAAGGAAGAGGATTCAGGTGGTGGCAGCTGAGAAGGTCTCAAGAGCTTGCTAGGAGCATAGTACAGTTCTCGTTGACCAGACCACACACTAGAAGGTGAAGGGACGACGACGTTTCGGTCCGTCCTGGACCATTCTCAAGTCGATCCTCACAATCGACTTGAGAGAATGGTCCAGGACGGACTGAAACGTCGTCGTCCCTTCACCTTCTAGTGTGTGGTCTGGTCAACTTTAGCCACGTTATTGTGACTCATCGCCTGTATACTGTTCTCGTGTATGTAGTATCTAGGGCGATCAACCGTCTAAGATCACGAGGAGTGGACTGAAGGCTATGGTAGAGCTCGGGGGTCTTTAAGTTTAGTTAACTGAAGGCGATGGTAGAGCTCGGGGTCTTTAAGTTTAGTTAACTAAGGGCAGGGTAGTGGACGAAAGAAAGATATTACTCCGTCCTCGTTACAATGGTGGCAGCGGTGGGATGCATGTGGTGGTGGCGGCTGTCACCAGGACTTCTGGTGGTAGTGGTGGTGGCTGTCACCAGGACTTCCGGTGGTAGTGGTGGTGGCTGTCACCAGGACTTCCGGTGGTAGTGGTGGTGGCTGTCACCAGGACTTCCGGTGGTAGTGGTGGCGGCTGTCACCAGGACTTCTGGTGGTAGTGGTGGTGGCTGTCACCAGGACTTCCGGTGGTAGTGGTGGTGGCGGCTGTCACCAGGACTTCCGGTGGTAGTGGTGGCGGCTGTCACCAGGACTTCCGGTGGTAGTGGTGGCGGCTGTCACCAGGACTTCCGGTGGTAGTGGTGGTGGAGGCTGTCACCAGGACTTCTGGTGGTAGTGGTGGTGGCTGTCACCAGGACTTCCGGTGGTAGTGGTGGTGGCTGTCACCAGGACTTCCGGTGGTAGTGGTGGTGGCTGTCACCAGGACTTCCGGTGGTAGTGGTGGTGGCTGTCACCAGGACTTCCGGTGGTAGTGGTGGCGGCTGTCACCAGGACTTCCGGTGGTAGTGGTG